GTACGCTGTTAGCGCAGTGGCGAGAGGACTGAGTTCCGTTAGCAGTATGCTGTTAGCACTAAGAATGGCTTAATAGGCAACGCTGGTATTATAAACCAGGGGAGGGCAAAAATGCCAACACCGGGAAATAATAAAAGCCAGCAAGCTACACGACCCTGACATTTCATTTGGGGTGAGCACAAGCTCCCTTCTCTGAGCAGCACTGGGAACCCCGACAGACAGTGGGTGCTGGCAAGCCCAGAGCCTGACCCCACCCCCAGCAGAAAAGAGCACCCTTCCTGTTAGAACCTGCACCCCCTGCAGGGCTACTAACTAAGCTACAGACATGGGGCTCCACCATGTCTTGACCAGTCCAGAGCTGTCAAAGGAAAAGTCACTTTACATGTTGCTTAAAACAAAGGAGACTCACTGGGTATGGAGACCACGACTCCTTCTTTGGGGAATCCCTGGCATGGAGGGGCCCTGCTTCTCCTTCTGGTAAACTGCCCCTTCGCCCCCTCCCAGCCCCAGGTACATGTGGGTTTATTCCTGAAGGAGCTCTTGCCTACTGAGAAAGGAAACAGTCATGTCAAAGACTTGGTCCCTCTGCACAAAGGAACTCTTAAGTTTGTAAAGGATTCTGCTTACATTCAACAGAGACAAACTAAGAACGAAATTTCAGGAGAAAAAGGTTTTAAAGTAATAAAAGAGGAGATTGGGGCTAGAGAGATAGATGGCTTACAGCTATCCAGAGTACTTGTTGATCTCACGCAGGGCAGGGTTGAGTTCCTAGCACCCACGTGGCAGCTCACACCCATTTCTATTATCAGTGTCAGGGGTTCTGATGCCCTCTTCTGGCCTCTGCAGGTACTGCAGGCAGATGCAGATGGTGCTCATACGTACACTCAGGCAAAACACTCATACACATAAAATTAAAATAAATAAATTGTAAAAATACATATTTACAAACAAGAAAAGTCCTAGCAGATACATTTTTAAACTCTCACTTAAAATATACCACATGCTCAGATATACAGTAAGCTGAGCATGGTAGCTCAAGTACTCAGTACTTGAGAGGCTGAGGCAGGAGGATTACTGAGAGTTCAAAGCCACTCAGTCTTGCATACACAATGAGTTCTAAAACAGCCTGGACTATAAAGCGAGACCTTATCTCAAAAATAAATAAATAAATCCCCAAAACAGTAACAAAAGACAAAACAGAACAAACAGATCTACACGTTATCAGTTGATACAAGATGAAGTGGAACCAGACACGTGAACAGGCCTCTATCAACGGAACAAGAATGAGCTTACAGCAGGAGGGGAACATACATTAACGGCAAGATAATTCTGCTTGGTAAGGGGGGGGAAGTGTGCTGAGCCCCTGCAGAGCTAAAAGGCTACCATGAGAAAGACCAACCTTAAAACACCAGGCCGGGGTGCAAACAGAATTAAGCATTTATCAGACTGCTGCTTGAGGGCTAGGAGGGAAATTTTCTAAACTTGGAGGCCAGGGAAGAAAAATCACAGACAGGGCAGGCTTGACTATATAACAGTTCAAAGCCTTTGAATGGAGAAATAAAAACAACAACAAAACCAAACAAACAAACAAAACTAAAAGCAAAACCCCTAACTCAGAAGGGAAACAACAGCCCAGGACAGGACAACAGGAAAAAAACAAAAAACAAAACAAAAAAACATTATTTTTTCACAGAGTTTGTACAAGATGAAAAGGAAAAGATTAAAAACACCAATAGATGAACAGTAAAATTCCTGACGAAAAAAAGCATACAGTAAATAAACAACCTCTGAGGAGGGCTGCTCGGCCTGGCTGGAAATTTGAAGCAAAATAATGAGGTGCTGTTCTTTGTCTGTGAAATTAGCACGCACTAAATACAATCATAAACCCGGGTGCTGGCAAGATCCTTTTGGTAGCATGTTTTGGTACAGCCCCACTGAGAAGCAGTTTGGAAGCACATATTGTAAGTGACAAAAACATTCATACCTACTGACGTGGAGATATCGCTTCTGGGAAACTGCAGAGAAGGTAATTGAGAATATGAGAAAAGGGGCCTTGGATATAATGATCATTATCCTAGCATTATCTACAATAATGAAAAACTGGAAACGATCCAAGGCCTGCGGGGCTGGTGGGAGAGCGATCCCTTCACAGCCTCGGACTGCCAGGAGAGCAGAGGCAGGCTCGGAAGTTCCCGAAAAGTTATCGTTGGCAGAGACCGCCTCCGGGTCTAATATTTCTAGTATTTCTCCTTGATTATACTACAAAGCACACACACTCGTAAGCCTGGGAAAATGCTGTTTTAGTTTTTTGCACCTATGTGTGCATGCGCAGGACAGGATGGTTTCTGCAGTCAGTTCTTGCCGTCCACTTTTATGTGGGTTCTGGGGATTGAACTCGGGATGTGCGGCAAGTGTCCTTACACCTGCTGAGTCATCAGTAGCCCCAGAAGATGTTTCTAGAACCTGTGGTCTCATCAGACATGAGCACCAAGCACGTAAGCTTTATATATGTATTCATCTTCTAAAAATGAAATGATATTGTGTATCTCACTTACAATCACTTTTGAAATTAATAATATGGCCTTCAATCATTTATATGATCTTCTACTAAATGATCTTAATGTTTGTACAATATTTTTCTTGAAAGATACACTGGACTATTTAATCAATTTCCTTTTTTTTTTCTTTTTTTTTTTTTTTTAATACAGGGTCTCGCTGGGTAGCTCTGGCTGGCCAGGAACTCACTGAGATCTGTCTGCCTCTCCCTCCTGACTGCTGGGATTCCAGACAATACATCACCATGTCCAGGTCACCAGTTCCCTTTTGTTGGATTTTTTAGTTTGTCTGTCTGTCTCTTTCTCTGATCCTGCAAGAAATCCCCCGTAGCAGCTGCATCCTGCCAACAATATTTCCTTACACCTACTCATGGATCGAAGGAGATCAAAACAGAGTTTTCTGAAATATACTGCCAAATACATTTTTTAAAATTCTGAGGTCATTTTCTCAAGTTGTAATAATTTTAATCAAAATTACCATAATTTATGAAAATGAGACTGTTTCTGCTTGATCGTATGTGCCTCTGCTTTGGGGTGCAGGTGGGGTTGCTCTGGAAGACCTGAACCCTATTGCCTGCCCACTAAAAATTCTTTTTTTATCAGCTTAACAGAATCTCACAGTTGCCTGGAACAGTGAGGAGCAAGAGCAGTCTAGGCTGCTCATGGCCACCTACTTTATTGTTTATTTATTTTGGTGTGGTGGGTTGAGGACCCAGGGCTGACAAGGGAGCCAAAGACGACGCCTGTCCCAGTGTTTCTCAGGGAGTGTTGGGTACCACTCTCTGCTTTCTCCATGAATGCAGATGTGGTGAACGCAGCTTGAGAAGAAAGACTGACAAGGTATAAAACAAACAAAACAAAAGGCAGCAAACTCTCCGGCCCCACAGCCTGGAGCCAGGGTGTCTCCATCACTTCTCAGTCACCTCCTTGGGTCCTCCTTCACAATATATCCTGAACTGGATCCGTTTGGACACTGCCACTGTTTTTCTGGTCTAGGCCACTGCCATCTGTGACCTGGGTGTGCACTACAGCTTCCTAACTGGTGACGCTTCCATTCGTGCCTCCAGCAGAGCTCTCCTCTGCACGGTAGGAAGGTGTGGTGAAAACACCTATGATCCTCGCATTCAGAAGGCAGAGGCACGAGGGTGACAAATCTGAGGCCAGTCCAGGCTACAGAGTGAAACCTGTCTCAAAAATACATACATACGTGCATATACATACATGCACATACAGCCATACACATGTACATACATGCATGCACATACATATATATGTACATACATATATACATACATTGTTTTAGTCACTGTCATATTGCTATGAAGAGACACCAGGACTAAGGTAACACTTAAAAAGAATGCATTTAAATGGGGACTTGCTTACAGTTTCAGAGGGTTAGTACATTATCATCATGGTGGGGAGCATGGCAGCATGCATGATGCTGGAGTAGTAGCTGAGAGTTACATCATGATCCATAGGCAGAGAGAGAGAGAGAGAGAGAAAGAGAGAGAGAGAAATATGCTAGGCTTGGTGTGAGCTTGAAACCTCAAAGCCCACCACCAGTGACACACTTCCTCCAATAAAGCCACGCCTCCCAATCCTTCTCCAATAATGCTACTCTCTGATGACTATGCAATCAAACAGATGAGCCTATGGGGGCCATTCTTACTCAAGTCACCACATGGTGTGAGCAACAGAGTGCCTTAGGACTTCACTTTACATAATAATCCTAATCTCTTCGGTTACTTGCAGCCAAAAGTACTCTAAAACATATCAGAAGAATGGCCCCCAGGTAGAAAATTGACCTTTAAATCAGACAACTGGGAGACAGGAGGCTGGGTGACCCTCTTATGATTATACTCAATTAATAAAGGGAATGCCGGGGGGGCATGTGGGTTATAGATTATTTTTATTTAAAATCTGCATCACATTTTTGTATTGTGTATACACATACACCATGACAAGCATGTGGAGGTCGGAGGACAGCTTTGCAGGAGCTGTTTCTCTCCCATCACCATATGGGTCCCAGGGGTTGAATTCAGGTCATTAGACTTGGTGGCAGATGCCCGTAGCAACCAAGACAACTCATTGGGCCCCTGCCTTAGTTTAATTTTTGTTGATGAGGTTAAAATACTCTGGCGGGGGGGGGGGAGCCACTTATGGGAGAAAAGGTTTATTTTGACTCACAGTCTCATGTTATATCCTATCACGGTGGGGAAGCCAGCATCAGGAGCTTGTGCTTAGCTCAGTTTCCCCCACTCTCACACTGTGTAGCACCCCCCTGCCTAGGGAATGGTGCTGCCCACGGTGGACAGAGTAATTAAGACAGTCCCCTATAGACACACCCACAAGTCAACCTAAAACAGATGATCCCTCATGGAGACCCCCTCAGGTGATTCTCCATTGTGTTGAGTTAGCAATGAAGGTAATCCATTGTGTCGAGTTAGCAATGAAGGTAATCACTACACCCAGATTAAAGTATTAAAGCTGAAGGCAAAGGCCACATAGGCGTGTGGATTGAGATGCGTCCGCCATAGAGCAGGGCGGACTCTATTCTGGGCCATTCGCCCTACCAAAAGAACACATTTCCTCTGTCTGCAATGAATGAGAAGGAAGCAAAGTCAGAATGGTGGGCACGTGAGGTCCACCAGAGAGACTAGATGCTAACGATTCTTCTCCCTGGTCCACCTCCTTTGTCTTGTTCCACGACTTCTTCTTAGCATGCTCCATCCCAACAGTCCTCAGTAGGCTGAAGTATCATGACTTCTCCAGGGGACACACGGATCCCAATTCCATTTCAGGAATGTACAGCTTTTATTATTTTTGGAAAGCCTGTCTATAGAGCCGAAAGTTTCCGCGTGATACTTCCTGGGCTGTGGCTGCTGAGTGCACTTTCTAAATGAAAGCTAAGAACAAGGTATCTATTTTCTTTCTGGGGGTTGGAGAGAAAAGTTCACAGAAAGCGTTTCTAAGTGAAAATGTCCACACTGGTGTTTCTTTGTCCAGCCCACAACTTCTGATTACTGATCCCCCTGCAGGTCTGTGGGCGGCTGCGCAGAGAAGGCGGGAATATTGAGTCACAGCTGTCTTCCAGCATATGAGCCTCAGGAACCCCTCGGGCCCAGGTTCCCTCCGGGCGAGCTAATTGCCGCTTGTCGCGGCTGCTAGCCTCTATTCGTGGCAATTTATCAGTGTGTGGTTAATCGTCGCCTTCAAAGAGAAAGGAAACGCTGATTGGAAATATGTTGGACAAAGGACATATTTGAGAGCTGGCTTCAGAAATCTCTGTGATGATGGCAGTCCACAGTCAGAGCAGAGATGAGACTACTGCCAGAGCCCTGGGTGACTCAGGAGGACGGGACACGCCTCCTTAATAACAGGACATTCTCTTTGTCTGGGAAGAACGGGAAGTAGCATGGATCAAGGTCTTCTCAATTCTCCAGGGAAGGAAGAACTGAACTTTCACTCTTTGTCCTACTTCTGTTTGGAGCTTTCCTTTTGATTCCTTTTCAGGGATGTTTTCTTTCCCCTTTATCTGTCCTCACTACCTCGTTTCCTCTATGGAGTAAAAGAGATTGGACCAGGAAGCTAGGAGTGCTTCTTTCAGACTCTCCTGGGCTCCGGGGGACTTCTGGCCCCAGACAGAAGCAGAAGCAGGTGCTGAGATGGACGCAGACATGACTAGATGCTAACCCAGCAGCCTGAGGCCTGCAGATACGTAGAAGGTGTAGGGGTGAGTGCTGGGCATGATAAAGGGGCTCCCCGGCATCTTCTCTCTGTAGCAGGCAGCTCTGTGGGATGGAAACCACAGGAAGCCCTGCTCCACCTCAGAGAGAGGCTCTGGCCACTCATTCTCAGGCACCATAGCTGATTCTGTTCTCCTTCCCCACTGCTGTTACCATCCGTTCCTCATCAACCAGAGTCTTGGCCTCCCCTCATCTGTATGACAAAGTTCTGCCAATTTTTAAAAATTCGTAAAAATTCTTCATCTCTTACTCAAATCATCATCAGCTCTACCCTGGACTGAATCCAACGCACTTCCAGGAAAGGAAAAACAAGAAAAAGAAAAAGAATATCTGGAATGTAAATCTGATCACTTTACTTTTGGGGCTAAAATCCTTCAAAGGTCACAGGATAAAATCTAGAAACCCCAGTATGTCTTGCAAGACCATCCAGAAGCGGCTTCTGGGAGTCAGATCAGAGAAGACATGGCCAGTGTCTGCAGCTTCCCTCTGTGATACACATCATGGTGCCAGGGCTGGAGCTGCTTCCTGCCCTTGGAATGACAATGGGCCACCCCTGGGAGCAGCTGTGGGACACCCTACTGAGCCAAGCACACTAGGAAGGTGGCCTGGAGTCAGATCTGTACTGGACCCTGGAAAATGGTCAAGGTCAAAGGTGTACAGGAGAGGAAGAAACAGAGCTGGACAATTTTGTCACAACTAATGACAAAGAGACTGGGATTAGCAATGTTACTAGGCTCAAGCGTAACCAGAGCCTAAAAGCAATCACATTCTGTGTGCCTGCCCCTTAGAGAGCCCTACTCTTTAGAAGATAATCTTTCAAGTCATACAGCCACAGGCTCTGTGGGTGCTCGGGTACAGCCTCCTTAGGATCCAGTTTATCCAGAGATAAACAGGCCATGTGCCAGAGGAAAAAGTGTCACACATCCTATCCAAGACACCCGCCAGCTCTCCACGGTCACCCTGACCTCTGACCCCACAGAGTGTCCAGTCATTAAGGGCGCAGCCATGAGCACCACAGAGCATAGAGAACAGCTCCTCCTTGGAGCAGCAGGTCACACTGGGCCCTTTCTCCAGCGTGCCCTGCTCCTCACGCCTTTATCCACCATGCTACCGCAGACCTCAGAAGTCTGTGGAGACTGCAGCTTCATAAACACACAGAAGGAAGAGTCTGGAGGCCAGAGGCCCCTCAGGTCGCTGGACCGCATTCCCGAGCAGAGCAGCAGGCTGGCACTGGGCTTATCCCTACTGGAGTATCCCGCCGGCCAGAGTCACAGTCCACAGGTCCAGCACAGGGGGAGGGGGCCGAGGAGAGCCCCATCCCGATAGCCAGTGCTCATGGCCTGCTACTCTTTTCTCTGCTGTGACCAAGCACCTGCCGAGAAACAACCTAAGGGAGGAAGGGCTTAGTGCTTAGGAAGGGGTGTGGAGCATCATGGATGAGAAGGCGCGGCAGTGGGCGGAAAAAGCTGGCCACACCGTGAGTGGACAGGAAGTGAGGCCAACCTATAAAATCTCCAGGCTGGCTCCTAGTGATGTACTTCCTCCATTAGGGTCCCTGAAGCTTCTACGGCCTTCCCAAACAGTATGAGGCTTGGGGAATGATTTCACATCTTAAGTGTACCTGACCTCAACACTTCTGCTTCTTGCCCTGTTTCTGGACTCTGTGATCTGGGGTGTGGGGGGGTTAACCCCAGGAAGGGGGGGGAGTGTGGGGGGTTAACCCCAGGAAATAAGTGGGCCAATGGATGCCCAAAGAGTCACCAGGCCAGTGGAGCTTCTCAGGCTTCCAAGGGAACGGCATTTGCTGGCAATGAACTTCCTGTCTTCAGCAGGTTTCAAGCAGTCTGCTGTTTGAGAGAGGGGCCGCCTCGCCCACTGTGTCTCGTGCCGGAAGGCACTTACCTTCGTGAGCTGCTGCTCTGAGGAGAATCCCAGACCGAACACTGTGTTGGCTCTGCTGTCAGCCCACTGCCCGAACTTCTGCGAGGTCTTGGTGAAAGTCATGTTCGGGGTGATGGTGCTGTTTATGATCACCTGTAGGAGACAGCCCAGAGGGGGAGGGCGTTAGCTGTGGACGGGACCCTTTTCTCCTGACAAAGGCTGTGGCTACAGGACGCTTTCTCTGTCCTGCTGGATTTGCTCCTGGGCTGTTCTTACCAGGGCAGACACACAACCACCACAAAGGGCAACTCCAGACACTTCGCAATGGAAGCCTAAGATAGACCTTTCCTCACACCAATAGGAAAACATCTCCCCTGAGAACCATTTCCAAAACTGATGTTTTATTGCTGCACAGATGTCAAGTATCAAAGTCTCCTAAAGGCTGGCCATGTGTGCATTCCCAGAACTGCCCTCCCCGAGACACCCCACCTCCCTTTTGAATTCCCAGGTACTCTAACAGTCAGCCGAACCAGTTAAAACTCCCACCAACCTTTGCGTCCCAAGGGGAAGGAGAAGATTCCCATCTGAAGCGTAGCTAGGGGGGCTGATCAATAGTAAGGGAGGGCACAGGGGCCTGGCCCTGGCTGTTACCACCCCTTGGTCTCAAATGAAGAAAGAAGTGGAGGGTCCATGAGGTGTATGTGTTTTCTAGCTTTGTATTTCTGGTTAACAGAATGGCTGCCATGAAGTTAATATCCAGTGTTTTGAAGGAATGAATGCAGGGCACACTAGGTGGCCCCTGGGTCGGTCACATCCATATCCTTAGGGGTTCTTTGGATGCCAGTAGATAGAGGCTCTCAGGCAACAGCAGACTATCTCAGAGTTCGCTGCAATGGCTCTTTAAAACTAAACAGCTTCTAAGTTATTTCATCTAAATCTTATCTTTAAAGAAGGGGAAACTGAGGCTCAATAAAGTCAAGTGGCTTATTCAAGGTCACAAACCAACAAGTGGTTAGAAGGGTCTTGCTCTCAAAGCAGTGGTTAACTGATTTCAAGGGCAAGACCTATTCATCCAGCTTGGGGATCAGCTCAGCGTCCTTGACCTATGAACTTAGCAACTTTGGAAAGCTCCCAGTCATTCTTTTCCCAGGTCGCTCCTGTGCCGTCTTTTCTCCTTGTTTTTTCCACGACTCCAGCTATACACGCCAGACCTCAGGAGTGTGCTGAGCCTGGTTTACGTTGACCGAGTGCTACTGCCTTTCTCTCTTGGTTCTCTGTAGTTTAATTGGGGCATTTTTAAAAAAAAATTTACTTTTTATTTTTAACTATGTATATGTGTTGGGAAAGACGGTATGTCTGTGAGTATAGGTGCCTAGGAAAGTTAAAAGTGTTGGGTGCCCTGAAGCTGGAGAAAGAGTTATAGGTTGCTGTAATATGGGTGCAGGGCATTGAAAACGGGTCCCAAGGAAGAACACTACACGTTCATCATCACTAAGCCATTTCTCCAGGCCCCAATCTGGGCATTTTTAATCGATCTGTTTTCTTGGCGGTTGATATAGTATATCTGCTGTAAAATCTACCCACTCAGTACCTTGTGGGGGTGGGGGCGAGGGAGGAACAAAGAGAATGAAGGAGCTTTAATTGGTTAGCTAGTTTTGCTTTGTAGCTCCGACTAGCCTTGAACTCACCATCCGCCTTCTTCAGCCTCCCCAGTTCTGAGATTCGCCACCATTCCTGCCTCCGCTGAGTTATTTTTAAAATCTAGCATATTCAATATTTGAAAAAATATATTCCAAAACCAGGCATGGTAGAGTACACCTTTAATTCCAGCAATTGGGAGGTAGAGGCAAAAAGATCTCTGAGAATCTGAGGTTCCCTGATTTACAAAGTGAGTTCCAGGTCAGTTAGGGTCCACTTCGTGAGATCTTGTCTCAATCAATCAATATTCTAAATCCCTGAGGATATTCTTCCCTTTGCCTGTTTTGTTCACTTCCCCTCTATTTCCTCAATAAATTGATGTATTTAAGATCCTGATGAAAACACTAACAGCCGGGCCATCTCTGAATCTTTCATTATCTGGGCTCCCCTCCTGACTCGAGGCATATGGTCCCAGATTTCTGCAGGTCTAGTCTTTTTTGTTTTTAAATCTCATGCTGAATGCAAAGACTCCATAGAAGGTGACCATCTGTCAGAGCAAGTCCCTCTTCCTCTCTGCTGGATGAATTAGGCAGACAGGAAATCCCTTCATCTCAGGGCTGGACTCGGACAGGTTGGGTGTCAGCTCCCATGGGACTCAGTCTAACTTTGGTTCACTCCTGGTCTTAGGACAGGCTCTTTAAGGAGTTCAACAGAGAGATCTTTATCTCCTCTATCCTGAAGGGCTGTGGAGAGTCAGGACAGTCCTTGAGAAGTTTTCAGCTTGTTTTCACAGCTTGTTAATTCCACAGACCTTCCCAACTAGGCCGCCCTCCTGGGCGCTACACACACTGGCAACAGAGCTGAGCATGACCTTGAACTCCTGACGCCCTCCCTGCCTCTACCTACCAAGTGCTGGGATTCTACATGTGCACCACCACCCAGCTAGCAAATTGTGAAGGCGCCATGTGCTCGGGGTTACTCGACGCTGCCCTCTGCCATTTAAGCAATGTGAACATCAAGATCTCCACTGGTCTCTCTGCCAGTAGAAGCATCTCTGCAGGGCCCAGCTCTTGAGCTGCCCCAGTCCTTAGGTGTCCAGGTGACCATTATCCCTGTGTCCGTTCTCTACCCTCTCTGAGGCTTTCATGTTGTTGTCTATTGTAAACCCTTGGCAGGGACTTGGTTTCTGTACACTGTAAATTAAGAAAATGTCTTGGGTGGGGGAGAGGGGAGCCAACCATTTTGAAGTTCCTCAGTCTTCAGTTTCATCTCTTTGGCCACTGCTCAGTGCTGATTCCCCTCCCTCAGCAGGATGTCTGCCAGGGCCAAGCCCCAGCTGTCAGCCTGTATCCAGAATTGGCAAATGTCTATAGGAGGAAATCCGCCCATTTTGGCTGAGCGGGCCCATCTCTCTGGAATTTTGGTCCTTCTAGCCCTCAACGTTCTATAGCTCTTTGATGCCCTTAAATCACATTTTGGGGGATAGGGATGGAGCACAGTGCTTGCTTCACGTGTTCAGTTCCCGAGCACTGTCCCCCAAAGTCGTATTTCTTCCACTTGTTACCAGAGAGAACCCTGGCCCCTGAGAAGCTATATAATTCACTTAGAAGCTAAGTGCTAAATCAGGACAAACTCAGTCACATTTCACGATGTGCTGGGACACTATTCTACCATGTTTATGGGAAGCATGCAATCTCTGATAAGGTGGCTGCTCATGTCCCACCGAGCCAAACTGGGCTCAGGCATGCCAGTCTAGTTTGCTGGACAGGGTTTAAGCCCAGCTACTCTCCAAGTCCAGGAACGCCCCGTATTCATTCAAAGCAGGAATTCCAAGACTACTCGCCACCTGCTCACCTCCCGCCTCTTCCGTCTGTGGCACGTGATGGAAAACAGACCAGGAAAGCAGAACAAGGAGGTGTTGAACGGCAGCACATAACCGCAGACTCCTCCTGTCTCCTTCCCATCTGCCTCCATGGGCCCTGTGCCTTCGTCTCTAACTCCAGGACATTCCTCCTACCCATACAGTTATGCTGTGCACTTCCCTGGTAAAAAAAGGGTTGTTCGTCCTTGGGATACAAAACGCTGACCTTGCAGAACTCATGAGGATTTTGCAGAGGGAGCTGCAAGCATCCTCCTCATTCCTCATTAAAAGGTCTGTAGTTACCAGTCCCTGTCATCAGCATGAAGGTGCCAGTGCCCTTCTCTACGAGCTGGAGGAGAGCCAGGAGGGGGAAAAGCAAAAGCCACACTGTCCACACTGCCCTTGCAATTGCTCACGCTGGCTCCCTGCAGGCTTCAGATGCCTTCGCCGGTTCTGAACAGTTTACCCAAGGTTCTGAGACTTCCTAGTTCTGGAAGGAAGGAAGAGAAGAGAGGAGAGAAAAGAAACGGTGGCAAGGAAGGCTATTAATTAGTACTGCAGCATCGCTTTCCTGTGCTTTAACTACCCGAGGTGGTTAGTCTGAGCAGTGTCGCAGCCAGAGTAGTACGCGAGACAGCTGGCTGGCTACCTTCCCAGAAAACCTAGAACATCCACCTCCGCAGGAGCAGCAAGAATGACACCCCCCACCAGCATGCTGTCAAAATATCCCCAGTCTTGGAATCTTCTTCCTTTTCTTGCCACTGACATGGGAACGGCCCCTGGCTACATAGCCTTGTCCTTCTGACAGACTAGGCAGCAGCCAGCCAGTAGGGCCTGCTCCTTCTGTGTCTGCCCCTACCAGGCTCTGCCTGTCGCTCCCAGCTAACCGTGTTTGCACCTAGAAGGCTTTGTATTTCTCCTGGTGACTCTGAATTTTGGCTCTTGCCCTTCTCAGGCACGGAGGAAGGAAAGAAAGAGTGTGAACACATACAGAAAGATGTTTTGAAAAATGATGTTTCAGTTTTATTGAAAAAGCACCTTGCTGTAGCCCAGGCTGGCCTTGAACTCAAAAGCCTCCTGACTTAGACTCCCAAGTGTTGGATTATAGACATGTACCTCCAAACCCAGCTGAATAGACCTTATTTTTTAAAAAAAAATTATGTACTTTATGTATATGAATATTCTGTCTTCATGAACACCAGAATAAGAAATCTGATCCCATTACAGATGGTTGTGAGCCACCATGTGGGTGCTGAGAATTGAACTCAGGACCTCTGGAAGAGCAGTCAGTGCTCTTAACCATTAAACCATCTCTCCAGACCCCCCAAAGGCCTTTTAATCTGCGGTGGGTCACAATGGTGAGTGCCCTGTGCAGCTGGGTGGGCAGGGGGAACAGCCTGAGGTTCAGGACAAAGAGATACAAACTTAAGGGACTGAGGGCAGTTTAGTTATGGGCAGGCTATAATGTGCTCCTGAGAGAACAGAGAGCTAGGGAAGGCTGACAGAACTTATCAGCTCAGCTTTACTAGCAATGTGGAAAAATACATGATCAGCACAGTCAAAGAAAGTCAGATACCATTAAGGGTTTAGGCAGGAGTATGGAGCAATGAGGCTGCTGTAGGTCAGCAAAACTATTAAAAAAAAACAATGTGGG